CCCATGTTTGAATGAATCACGGAAGTTTCTTTTTTGTGGTTGTCCTTACTCCTCGCTTTTTAAATAATCCTCCACGATTCTCCAGACAGGGCAGAATCCTTGTCATGGTGTGCCAGATCAAAAGCCAGGTGAAGCCAGCCACCAAGGAGATTGATGAGCCGCTCGGATTACTCATGGGGCGAGCGAGCTCCGACCGTGATGGTGGCCTGGAGTCCAATGGACTGAAGAGTCCATTTGGTGTGGAATCCAGGGTATCAACCCCTGCAGTCACTTGACTGTTTTAGAGTTGCTTCGTCATTTTTCATCCGGATGCGGAAATAAGCCATACATCAAACCACAAGGGACTGCCGTTTTCTAAAAGGCAGGTCTTTAGGTGGCCTGAGCCACACGTCAGCAGAACTCAAATGATTCTGCACCTCCATAGTGTGGCCAGAGAACATCGTTTTTACTTACGTATTGGAACAACTTCCCGTACAAGTTCTGACGAAGAACATGAAGAGTCTAGAGTCTTGAGAGTTTATGATGGCAGATACTTCAGATGAAGCCTGACAACACAGTTCGGGTTGTCTACTTTCCAGGTGGTGCGTCACCTTCCTCGTTTTCTTTTGGGAGGGACCAACCCTCCCTTTGGCAAACTTAGGAACTCTTTCACTGCGATCTATCTTGCATGTGATCCAGACACCAAGTTTGGCAAGCGCCTTGGCAGCTGCAGAGCTCCGGTCCCTGTCAAGACGCGCTTTTCGTACACTCACCGCATTTGCACACAAACGCACAAATTAACATGAACATTTTGAGGGATCTTCATCATATGGAAGTTAACTTAGGGAAGGAATGCATCCCGATTCGTGCAAGGAAACAAATAAATCCAAAACATCAAACCCCAGGATCCAAGCCAACAACACGGAGCTGGACAAAGTGTGCGGCAGCGGACTTTGGGATGCAGTTGGGATCACCAGGACTGCTGTCGTCAAAACTGAAGCCCTTTTTACTGCTCTTGAGGGGTCAAACCTGTGGATTCGAACCAGATAGCAATGGCCTCCAACCTAATAACGATGGCCTCCAACCTAAAAGCAACGTTCTATTGAACTCTTTTGCAGGTTGTTCCGCTTCGTCGGAAGCCAGCATCGTTTGTGCAGGAGCACCTTCCCATAAGCGGCGGATGGTCCCTGCAGGAAGGGAAACTAGCGAGTGCAGGCGAAGAATCGCGTGGTTGGATCATGTTTGACCCAGCGGGAGAATGAATTGAAATATCCGTAAAATGGGTGTTGAAGTAGCCCTGGTTGTGAGAACGCTTACTTACTTAGAATATCGGGTGGTGGCGACGCTTGTGACCTTTGTTTGGTTTGAATTTGGACCATTGCAAATGTTGGAACAAGAGGAATCCGTGCTTTCATTCAGATCCATCTAAGGTGCAACATCGAGCTCGACTTGTTCTGCAGATGTGCCTGGCCAGAAATGTGTGCAGAGTGTCAGGTTCACACAGAAGACACGGCTGAACGTTGTCTCCGGATGACTGACCCCTGTTTGCTCAGCAGGTTTCATGTGAATGCGACCTAGTCAGACAGGATCCCATGGCTTTGTTGGAGGTTTTGGAGAAAAACACGTGCTTCCAGTTCAAGCGACCGACTACTCTGTTTTACTAGACCAGAGCGACCTGAGCGACCAAAGGGAATAATTGGTCCGTCCAGTCCAGTAGATGTTTGTCGAATCTGAGGTCCGTTCACTGGATCGATTTGGATGCTCCATCGACCGAGGACGAAGACTACGCGATGAAAAGACCGCGACGTCGTGCGGGCTGCGATTTCTCATATTTCTCGGGTGCATGTTAGTGAAGCGCTGGAGTGAGCCCATGTCAAGCATGTTTAGTAGCTTTTGCCTATGCCAAATCATGAAGGATGTGTCAGAAATTCCATTCTATATCAGATGCGCTTGGGTATTGCGCCCCCAAAAATGCGTGCAGATGTGAACTATGCTTCACGGAATTCATGGCACCGTCCCTGTCCAGGCATTTGCTATGTACTCTGGAAACAGCCTGCAAGCGAAGAAGCTTACAACACCAGGCTAGGGACTTTGTCACTAGCACATCGTCTACTTACTTGATACAACAGCTGATGTCAGGCCAGAAGTATGATGAAGTGCCGTGTGGCACTCCAAAAGAATCTTGAGCCACATCCATTTGTTTATATATATATATAATCCATTTGTTTATATATATATATAAGCGATACTTCAATTTGTAAATTGCACTATATTGCAGCAGTGCTTGTCGGAAAATTGTGTCATACACCTTGGGCATATGGTACTGTACTCAGAGTCGATAAAGGGGACAATATAGACTTGGTCATTTGGTTGATTTGGGTGCTGTGTTGCCGTGACATTGTCCTCTCGTCTCTTGGATGGTCGAACATTGACAGTAGTATTTTCTGGACGATGCATCCCAACCTGGATCTTGACTAGTTTCTCTCCATTTGCAAAAGAAGTCTTTGGTTTGCTGCTGCACATGTGATGTTAGTTCTGCACATGCTGCTTCAGTCAATGACTGCCCATGTTGTCCTCTAATAGTGTGATTTTCCCATTCTTGTACATTCTGATGCAAGCATAAACACAGCTCACTGCGCCCTCCCTTCGCTGCAGGTCATTGATTTCCTGCGTTTCCCCATTGCAATTGCAGTAATGTTGACCGGGCTGGGAGTTGATGCGGGTAAGGCCCACTATGCAATGTCCTAGCCACCCTTACTACAAGCTGACAAGCTGTTGGTTGGCCTTGGTTCGCCATAATTAGTTCGCGCTCCACTTCACAACTTGTGAACTCATCAGACGATCATGCCCTAAAATCTGCCACTCACTGGACCTTTGAGGTCTTGCTGCACCAGCTTTCAGCATCTTTCAACTGAGGTCTTGTTTCTGACAAAAATAACAATTTTATTCCCCTCTATTCATTGACAGTCTGTTTGAAAGGTGTCACCATCCATGCTCCCAAGAGATCTCAAGAGAGGAAATCCCAAGAGAGGAAATGACACCCGGTTAGTGCCCAAAGCGCAGCTTGCCATGAGGTGCGCAGCTGACTCAGAGAACGCCTGAGTCGGGCTAGCCATGCATGTATTTATAGGCATTTATCAAATGTAAATAAAGGTCATATATGTAGGTATCAGGACTGGTGACCATGTGCAAGCCAGAAGATGCAAAGGTTGGATCACCGCGGATGAGCCTGTGGAACAAGAACGCGTGCATGCTCCAGGGGGTCGTGTGGTTTCACAAGAAAAACACCACTGTTTTCTTCCGGACATTCCAAACATTCTTGATCTTCCAGTCAAGTTCATACTCTGTGAGCAAAACATGAGATCGGCCGTGAGTTCCGTCAGCTTACAGGCCTACACGAAGCCACCTCGAAAGCGCTGTTGGATAGCCGTTTGATCATTTAATATTACTTTATCTTAGTCTAAGTTCTTTTGCACACATCTCTTTTCAGAGCGCTGGGTGCTGCATACGTGAGGCTTTGTGTCGTGTACTTACACATGCGTCAGCACGCTTCTCCCGGTCCAACTTGATGGGCTTCCCACCGCCACACTGCTTCTTTCAGTGTTTGTTGCATGTCCTTTTCGGTGAGGCCTAACCATGCGCCGTGTGATGCATTCTGACATCACTCTTCATTACCTGACAAGTCATCACATACTTCTTCATCACACACCACACAACACACACACACATTTTTCATCATTTTTCCATAGTGGGTTTATTTTACGGTTTATTCACTACTAGTTGTCCAGCCCAGTTGCCCTCATGTATTCGGAAGTGTGTCCTTTTTTCACCTGATACGCTACTAGTTTGGAATTCCCGTTTCAAGCCACCTTACGTTTGCCACTGATGCTTGCAGGAAGTGTTCGTCAAAGTATGTGACATTCATAGTAGATCATCATAGATCTAGCAACCAATCTAATTATACAGTATATGTTTTCGTTTGGCAGATTCACTCAGTTAACTCCGTCCGATTGGAGAGTCCTGTTTTTCCTTCAACCTCGGCTGTGGAGTCGAATGAAGGGCTTCCACCTAACAGATCTTAGGGTGTTGGTTTCTCTGCCTCTCCACTTGGAACAATATGAAGCAGAAGCCTTAGAAGCCTTAGGACGAGCCTACTGAGAGACTTTTATCATAGTTCCAGAATGCTAGTTTTGGCTTTGGCTGTGGGACTTTGCAGTGTTGTGTCCTTCAGCAAAAAGGATTGGTGATCCGGTGACAATTCTCAAGATTCAACAGTTTGTCGGTCAGACAAGCCCTACAAATATCCTGGAATTGAAGAAAGTCTCACTCCGGAAAACCTCCATTTAGCTTCAATTATAAATAAAGTTCCGGACGAAACACATTATGTAGCACATCACGGGAATTATATTCTCTTCTACTCTATAGCATAACGAGAACCTCGATCTGCTCAAAACACTGTTTCGGTTTAAGTGATGCTCTACAAAAAGGACTAGTCCAAGGATGTACAGGTGTATGTAAATGGTTTAGACCTTTGGGCTTTGACCTGCATGTGTAGTGTGAGGCACAACTAAACTTGTGACACTGGCGTCATGGAAACAAGCAGGCCAACAAAGAGCTGGTCACATTGATATTGTCAGTAGTTTTTGCCATACCATGTTAGACATATACATATATATATATATGACGTGTTTGGGAACTGTTCAATTGGTTGGCAGGAAATGTTTCAGGCTGGACTGGCCGTAAAAAGATCAGCTCAGGTTTGTGCTTGTGTTTCTTTGTGGGTGGTGTTGAACCGGAAACGGAAGTATTGGCAACTTTGGGCTTTCCAGTTGACATGAGCCATGGCCAACCCCCCGCATCGCAAACAAGGAGGAAGGCACAAGGAGGAAGGCAGTTTAAGGGCAGTAGCCGCTCAGTAGCTTCGCAACGACAGTTGTATGCAGTCAGATGCAGTCAGTGAGCAAACATAGATAGGCATAGACATACATAGACTCCCAAGCAGGACGGGTTACTATTCCTTCAGCTCAGCGAAGCGTTTGCGACATCTCCCATGAAACGTCAAGATCCGTGATGCCATGAGTTTTACACAGAGCCTGTCAGGCAGGGTGGCGAGGTGGTCGCTGTCTTGGGCCGGTGAGGGTATGCGAGCATCCATCAAAGGGATCCTTGTGAGTTTTGAGTGTTGTGCATGTATCATGCAAAAGCCAAACAGGAGCAAAGGGCATCGCTACTAGGAGCAAGGACGCTATTAGTAGCTCCTGGCCTTACTACTAGGAACAAGGACGCTACTCGTACTAGGAGCAAATATTTTTCTTGGTTGCTTATGGGACCTGTGGGATGTCCACCGCTGTGTAGGCCTGGGCGCCGTGCCTGGAGTCACTGGGAGCGGCTCGGCTGCATGGCGTGAGGTGACTCAGGGTGACGTGACTCGAATACTTCATTCGGGTCTCCTAGTAGCGATGCCAGGAGCCGCTAGGCCCTTGCTCCTAGTAGTAAGGCCAGGAGCCCCTGGTAGACTGGTAGCTTCTTGTTCCTAGTTCCTCCCACAAGTCGTGAAGAGGATCATTGTGACTTGAGCTGGTCGAATACAGTGTATAAATGTGTTTGATGTTTGGTATTGTATAACTGTAAAACATGTGAAATATGTGTTGTTTATATACATGTTGTCGTAGTGAACCCCAGATCTATATATAGATGGAAGAAACAATTTATATATATATAACTGTGTTGTGGCCTGTGTGCGGCCTACCGCTTTTGACGGCCTATGTGCTGAATCTCCTGAGCTGGTTGTAGCTTCAGGTCGGTTTGCCCTTTCAGGACTGTCAACATGTTGAAGATCACGACTGAGCACTAGGGAGAACCAACCTCACTGCAAGGTCACAACTATGACCCTCGAAGCTCCTATTGCGTGACCATGTCAGACCCTTAGAGGTGCGACGGAAAAGAAACTAGGTTAATGATGTGTTACCGTTCTCTACATGACGGAATAGCAAGTGAAAGTTGAAGCTCTGAAGGTACTCAGTACTCAACATCAGGCACCCTCAGGCTCCTTTTCACTTTTGAGATGACATTTTGGCTCACTCCAGGTCAAATTTGCTTAATTGAATTTGCAAGACGCTCTTCAAGTTTCAATTCATTAAATCTGAGACATGGCATGGAAAGGTTTCGTTTGGCTGGCCCTACCAACGGCCACTCTGATTGGGCCAAGGTTGAGGCTCGGCCGCTCTGTCGCTCCAAAGGTGCCATGCGATCAGCCTGACGTGTTTGAAATGCCTAAGGCGAGTGTTTTGTTCCTAGTAGCGATGCCAGGAGCCCCTAGTAGCTTCTGGTTACTGGTAGCTTCTCAGCCAGGAGCCCCTAGTAGCGTCCTTGCTCCTAGTAGCGATGCCCTTTGTAACTCTTGGGAAGGACCTTTGTTGTTGCTATGTTTTGAACAACAGAGGTGGAGCCTGCCTCAGGGTGTGATTATATCCCAGGGGCTGAACACGGTTGAACATGCTTGGGACCGCGGCGAACTGGCAACATACGGAACCATGAGAATATGCTCACAGGCAGGCTTTACGGAACAAATTCTTGATTGGAACTGGCTCTTCTTCTTTTTGAGCGCAGACTTTCTACGTAGTTCTGTGTGTTCTTTTCTTGTCTGGGCCGTGTGACAGTGTCGACATCATGTGAAACTTCATGTGGACATCATTGGCTAGGTGCTCCTGCAGAAGGACTTTTGGTTGCTCTTGTGCATCCACTGCTTTGTCTTGCCCTCAGCACATTTCATCGTTTTTGCTTTTTGACTCCTTCGCAGCTTTGCAGAGAGTCAAAACTTGAAGACCTGGATCTTATTGTGCAATTATGCATGACTGCATGACTGACAAACACTTGATCCTCAAGCAAGTCACCCTGCACCCTGAACAAGAGCTCGCCAGACAATCCAGGCCCGGGCCAAGGCCAAGACCAACTGTTTCAGTCGTTGTTTGCTTGTTATGAACACCGCAAAAGCCCGGACTAGTGCGGGCATTGCCCAAATTGGTTGCACCAAAAATATGCTTCCTCATGTTTCCTCTAAAACAAACCTATTTGCACCCCTCTCCAGGTCAAACATATAGGTAGCCTGCATCCAAACTTAGTCGTCTAATGAATCCACCTCTTCGTGCTTGACTCCATCTCAGAAACTTTCCTGTTGCTTACCTCAGACTCGTTGACTTCATGGACTTTACGTTCTCCTTTTGAATGATCTCCCTGACATCCATCGTTCTTGTCTTCAACCTTGACCGAAATAGTTCCTCATGCTCACCTTATTGGCCAGTCAGCCGAAAACAACATTATTTCGGCCACATTTGGGCAATTGAAGCACCGCAATAGCCGTCAATAGCCAGCATCTTGAGACCTTTGCCTACTACAACAATGGCTATATGGGCCAGAAGGACAGTGGTTGGAGGCAGGCCTGTCACTACAGCTCAACCAATTCATGCATTTGCCTAGGCACAAGCCAGAACTGTCCAGATGCAAACCTTTGGGGAATACTGCCTCCTGAATTACAGATCATGGTTGATGGTTGATGCCGTTGCAGTTTGATGCCGTGTTTTGTGAGTTCTTGTCCTGAAGGCAAGAGTTATGTGGTTTTCTTGGCCAAGATTGCGGCGAATTAGAGACCAGATGTGCTTTTTATTCTGCTCGTAAGGTGCTCCCTTCACGTCTTAGTTGGCTCAAACAAACACGTCTTCGGTGCTGTCAGGCTCAGCACCTTGGAGCTGGAGTGGTCCGACGTAGAGCTCATGTTCATCTTGATGTGTGGATCCACAGATGACCGATGATGGGGAGAACAGCGATGACCGACAGCATCCTACAATCATGTTCTATGTGTTTTTCTTATTGCTGGCAAAAATATATGCGTGATTATGCGTGCACGTGTTTCATGTTCGAGTTTGATGAGACAAGATCCCAAGTGGCCCAGGGGACACGTCGATTTCTGACATCTGACTGGCATCGTCCTTGGTTTACCGTGTAAACTTGCATGCTGGGGTGAGAAGGGTGTGTCATGGTGTGTTTGAGTCATGTTTTTACCATCAAATGCACAATGCTGATCCCTCTCCGAATGTATTGTACACAGCGGTGCGTTCCTTAACAGATCTTAACAGCCACTCAAGAAGGTTCGTCGGATAAAGTCGAGTTCCGCAACTGCGCAGGATTCCACAACTAGGATTCCACAACTATTTGGTCGGATTCCGCAACTGGGATTCCGCAACTAGGATTCTGAAACTAGGATTCCGCAACTGGGATTCCGCAACTAGGATTCCGCAACTAGGATTCCGCAACTGTCAGGATTCCGCAACTAGGATTCCGCAACTAGGATTCTGCAACTGGGATTCCGCAACTGGTGTTGCGCAACTAGGATTCCGCAAAATTGTGGATTCCATCACTAGGATTCCACAACTTTTGTGAATGATGAGGGAGTTGGCGTGATGTCGAGATCACACGATGGGGACAAAGGGGGGTTGGGGGGGTGGGGGGGTTGGGTGGGGGGCTAATGACGTTGGTTTGGATGCGCTTCGAAGATGAAGTCACAGGCACACGCTGTCGCATGATGTGGAGAATGTGGAGATCACCAGTTGCAGAATACCAGTTTCAGAATGTTAATGTCAGTTGCAGAATCTGACTTTCCAGTTTCAGAATCCCAGTTTCACAATCCTAGATTCGGAACCCCAGTTTCAGAATCCTAGTTTCAGAACCCCAGTTTCGGAATACCAGTTTCAGAACCCAAGTTTCAGAACCCTAGTTTCAGAATCCCAGTTTCAGAACCCTAGTTTCAGAATCCGACCGATTAGTTTCCGAATCCGGCTCTAACCAAGGTTCGTCAATGCAAGAGACCTTTGTTACTGGGAGGTCACCATCTGAAGCGTTCTACAGTCTTTTGAGAGTGGCCTGGGCCTAGCTGCAGAAAATGCCAGGCATTTGACACCACCAGCAGCCGGACTAGTCGATCTACCCGTCACAACTCTGCCCCCAGAGAGGTTTCTGCGGGTTTCTGCTCGACATCGCAGGTCTTGTGCGCTTTGCTTTGCGGTGCATCAGTGTAGATCTCGGTGGTTGGGGCCACGGGCTGTTTGAGAGATGTGTGGTCACAGTCAGTGTGTTTTCTTGCCCAGGAGCCCCTAGTAACGGCCTTGTTCCTAGTTAGTAGTACGGCCAGGAGCCCTTAGTAGTTTCTTGTTACTAGTCACTTAATTACTTGTAGTTATGTTGGAGGTGGGGTGGGCAGTTTTCAGGTCTACCCCAACAAGCCTTGTCAAAATGAGTCAACTTGCATGAAGACACCACGTGTGGATGTGAGTTCACTGTCCATGTAGGTCGACACCCACCAGGAGCACTTGGAGCCCTTGATTGTTAAAGCACAACATACAAACCTTATTGCCCCAACGCCGGCTACTGCATCAGAGTCAAATTTGCGTGTTAGGGAGGAAATAAATTCATTCCAGATTTTAGCATCTAGTCTTTTTTGGTGTGTTGGGGCCTATCAATACCACCTGATACGACTTCTATCTCGTAGAACCATGTCAATGTAGAAGAGTGCAGAACTACTCTACAGTGCAATCACGTGGTGAATCGGTCTTCAATGGTGAGCTTTGGGGCTAACTCACTCCAAACCTACCGATTTCTGGGGCATATTTGGCGACCTAGGGCCTACTGCAGATACCTCTTCCTTGGCGACCTGGTCTGGACTGCATGGGCGGGACCAAGAATGGCAGGATCATTGGGTGGAACATCTGTGGATCAACAAACAGACCATCTCAATCCGTCACAAACCTGGTGTATTTCCTCGTGCGTTTGTGGCGACGAGAACGAGATATGTTATTATTCCCACTCTGAAATATAAGTATACGTATGATAGTATATGTACATATTTTGCCAGGTAAATATCGATTGCTTCAGCTGCTTGGATATCTTGGATTCGGTTTGTACTCTGCCAATGGAATCAGCTACTCCCGTATGGGTCTCAACATCTAACATTCTAGGTGGCCTAGCAGCCAAGACCAAAAGGCCGTGGCCCCTTGTGCTTCCAGTGATGCCCTAGACTACAGAGCGCTCTGGTAGCGCCTAGAGCGCTCTGTGTGACAAGTTGCAGTTTCAAGACAGCACGAGAAGACTGTCATCTCAAACATATAGGTATAGGATGGTATAGTAGAATATAGTAGGTAAATACTTTTGACAAGTAAATCATCCTCAAGGTGCCCCGTCCTCGCCTGTGGCGGTTGTCAGATGTGAGGGTACTGCGTTCCCACAGGAAGATGATGGACAGCATCTACGACTTCGCCTTTGAGGCACAATCCTCATTTGATGTATGATGATGCATGTGTATTATGTGTCACACATTATGCGTTTTACTCTGATCCTTTAGTCCTTGAGCACCTGCAGGGCAGTACTTCTCATAAGACAAGACTGGGATCCAGTGTGAAGGCTTGTATTTGAAGGTGTCTTTGCAGGGCCGCGGGGCAGAAGACTCAACCATCCTAAAATTTTAGAAGAAAGTTCTAACATATTCAGGAACAAAGATGAACAAACGAGGAAAATGGTTGTTTAAAGGAGCCTTACCTTCCTTTGTTAATGCATTTGTTCGTTTGGTGACTTCCACGACAGTGTGGAATGTCATTATTCTTTGTGGTTCAGTGAATTCATGGGTGCTGATTTGGGATGCGTTGAAGTGTATATTATGGTGTAGTCATTTGTGATGTGGTGATTTGTTGTGTGGTGAAGTGTAGTTTGGTGGTGTTTCATGACTCATCCCAATGTGGGTGTACAGTGTACAGTGTACATAGTGTGATGTAGAACTGGTGTTTGTAGAACTCTGTACTTTTGTCTAGGACTCTCTACTTGTCAACATGTTCTCTTTGAATTCTTACGAAAGCCAGCCGTAGGCTAGACTGAAGGTCTGAATAGCGAACGAAGTGAGTATTTGGGGGCCTCGGGGGATGGGCGTTGCAAAATGAATGGTTTTGGAAGGTCAAAAATCAGAACTCAGTAAGTTTTGAGGAGGTTGTAGATGCAAGTGATGCAATCAACGGGGCTGTCATGAAATGATGCAATGGCATGGGTGAAGAAGAAGGAAGGATAAGGAAGGAACAAGCAAGAAGAAGAAGAAGGGTAAAAGAACGAAGAAGAAGGAAAGGAGGAAGAAGAAGGGTCATGCAAGATGCAGGAAACTTCGGTACTGGAACTGACACGTTGTGATTGCTTTGGGCGGACACGTAACCTTGAACAGGCCGTTCGGCCAACGAGTTCATCAGGGGTGCAGCCTCGTCAAACTCATGCATCCATAGTGCAGGCTGGCTTTCGTCCCCTCCCTTCTCAGGTTTGCCTTTCCCGACTTTTCTCTAGAAATCTCTACTTTGCTTGATATTTACTCTTCTATACGTTTCGACCTAGCTGTTCTACTTTTCTCTCGAAATCCCTGGCTCATGCAGCTTTTAGCTTTAAGACTTTGTGACTTAGTGGGAAGTGCGGATCTACTTGCCTTCTCGGGCGCTGAGGCACGCCTTCTTCTGCGAGCCGAACACCAACCGCCCCTTAGTGACCTATTCAGAAGTCAGCCCTACTCGAATAGTTGCAAACACGTGCCAATGCGGGATGTCGTTCATCGAAAGAATTCTGTGTTGAACATGAAACCACTAGGGGTTCCTGGCCTTACTACTAGGAGCAAGGACGCTACTAGGGGCTCCTGGCATCGCTACTAGGAGCATTCTTACTAGCTACCAGTAACAAGAAACTACTAGGGGCTGCTGGCCATTCTACAGGGTTTGTCGCTGAGGTTCGATCGCCTGGGCTGCCGCTGGGTTGTTGCCCCTTGTCCAGCATCACGCGCGTTGTGTGAATTCATGTGAATTTGGCATTGATCAACAACATTTCCGGCATTCTATACATATTATGGAAATACATTTGTAATCATAAGTCATCATTGATGCATGTCGGTAATCTTGCATGAGTTACCTTGATGACGCAATGAATCCAATCTAGACTGGTTCCTTCGACAGCTGCTAGACTAGATCTTCGTTTGATTGCTGCACGGGTCAGCTGAGATGGTGTGCACGCACACCAGGTAGCTGAAAAGAAGGGGTTACATGTTTTGTCAGATGTGGTTTGTTTTTTTCTTAGTGGTTTGTAAAAGCTTGGCTGTCAGCAGATTATGTTTATGTTTGTATATGTCCATCAAATCACTTTGAGTAGCCAGTATATGAAGATTGTTTAGGGAAGCCAAGTACTCATATAGGTAATGATCCACAAACACAGTGTTTGTATGAACTGTGGCTGTCAATGCAGGTCCCAGCATTCAATCATGTAATATAGCGATCGATGTCTTAGGTAGTAGCAAGGACGCTACTAGTAACAAAGGGCATCGCTACTAGTAGTTCCTGGCCTTACTACTAGTAACAAGAAGCTACTAGGGTGTCTCTGTACATGTCATGCTCGGTCCCAAGATCCGCCAACAGAACGACCTGCTGAGGGTTCCATGGCCTTGGTCCTATGCGAAGTGAAGCGGGGAACTCACGGAAAGGGAGGGTACCACCAAACACGAATCAAATGAAAACATAGTTGAAAGGCAGCATGTATGTTTTTCTGATTGTGAAGAACCCACCAACTATTGGAACTGATTAGAGCATACATACTGTACCATGTTTTTGGTGTCAAAATATGTCACATGCACGAGATTGGGTCGAGCCAATTGGTCCATCTCTTTGTCACTTCTTTGCCTTGAAGGCCTTGCAGCAGTTGATATCAGATTCCATCTGTTTTAGCTGGAAATCATGTCCACTTTTGGCCGCCATTGTTCGAGGAAAGCCAGCAAGGGTAAGACCGTGGGGCAATCAGACATCTTGTGCTGCTGGCCTGTGACATGGAGTTGTGCAGGGCACCCAACGTGAGAATCGTCTCACCCAACTGCTCCTGAAAGGTGACCGTTAAAGCCCAGGTTTCTGGCATCTTCTTTGTTGCCATGGGAGAATTTGCAGGAATTCTCAACCAACTTGGCTGTGTAGGATTGGAGGTTGGGATCTTGTCCTTTAATGGCTACCCCGTTGATGGTGCGGCGCCAGGAAGATGGTGGATTTGGAATTGATGAGGCCCAGAGCTAAGCCACCTGAAGGAGCTGGGCTGGCGTTAGCATTTGATTGCCTTCAAGACATACATAGGTGGAAAGGTGTGTGCGAACGGCAAGCGGAGGAATTGGCTAGAAATATCACATATCAAATTGATTGACCTTCGAATGGCTGAAGTTTGATTTCCAGCCATGTCCTTTGCATAGTTGTGTCCATGGATGCCCGGCTGAAATTCATATTTCAGCAGTAATCTTGGCGTTCATTATCAGCGGACATGCATTTCAATCTGGTCTGAAGAAGTGGTGTCTGAGATTTAAAATGAAATCTGGTTGGTGTGCATTGTGCTCAAAATGTGACATCTGTAAGTTAGGCCAAGCCTTGGTGCTATTCAAATTCAATGTCAATCACTTTGGCTTTTGATTGTGAGGATTTCATTCGAGTGTCATTTCTTGGGAGCACGTCGAATCATACAGATGCTAAAGAAGCAGCTTCAACGCAGCCAACGACAGCCAACCTTCCTGAGGCCTGGTGAGGCCGATTTCCTGGAAGAACTCGGCACGCGCCAGAGGAGACCTTCAAGAGATTCGGTGGATGTGTTTCCATGTTTTTCCTATTTAGTGTTTGTATTTTTTGTGGCGTTCGATGGCTTGAATTTTGCGCATGACTTGATCCTTGGTTGGAGTATCTTTTTGCAATCAGTGTTTTGCACCAATAATTTTATAACGGTGACTTCAGGGTCCATTTCTGAGCAATTGATTTGAAGCATGTTTGCGTGTTTTTTCCTACAGCCACTGATGTTGCAACACTTACAGTAGTGTTCTGCTGATAGCGGACATGAGGGTTTTTATAGTCATAGTAATGTGTTTGTTTGCCTGAAGGTACTTGTCCTTTTGGGGAATGAAGTTCTCGCTGCCTCTGGGAGCAAATCCGATCGTAGTTCCTGTCTTTTGGCGACGGCGTTGGGGGAAGGTTTTGAACAAGATGTTTGATGACCATGCACTACTCTGTTAAAGAGATACAGAAGTGGAGCGGGTCAAGTTGCGTAGGGGTAAATAGTCTTTCAAGATGTCATGTTCACTTCCAGCACCTTGTGCAGGAGGGCATATGTGGATTCTATTAATTAGCTGTTATTCAAAAGGTGAGGCTTACTTGACTCCTGAATTTGGGAATAGGTCAAGACAGGTGCTTTCATCCAACGGATGCCTTCAGGACGATCAACAAAATTGGGGACAGCTGATTTGTTCTTTTTATCGTCCAGGACCTTGGTCATGATGCACACAGCCTCCGACTGCACCTTCCATGGGCTTCAACAGAACAATGTTGTGCCTCGGCTCATGAGGAGCCCCACAGGAGTTCATTGGGTGTGGCGTTCCAGAATCACTTGGAATTAGGACACCCAAAACGCAGCATAACGCAGCCACCAGCTTGTCTCTCTGGGTACAAATGGAACACAACCACAATCCACTTATACCGACAATCCTATTGAAATCGACCTGGCAAGTGCAATGATGTCTGTTGAATCGTTTCCTGACGTTCCATTCTCACAGCGGGAACCAAATCAATAGTGCGAGCGCTTCGTCAAGGAAGCGCTTCGGCCGGGGGAGCTTTCTTGAAGAAGTGTAAGCTATCCTGCGACCAGTGACTAGAAGCTAACTAGTCGCCCTTACTTACTGTAATTAGGTAGCAGTAGGAGCGCTCTGAAAACAAAGGAGAAAAAGAAGTCATTTCGATACTGTGCATGATCCTTTCCAGACTGACGACGCACTCACACACTGTGACTGGGCTTGACGTTAGTTGATACACTCGTTTAGTTCATACATTTAGGCACGGTTGCGTCCCACTCTTGCCAGTTTATGGTCCTAATTCATTCTCAATGTCTGATTCTTGGGCAACCTCTAGGACATGGTCAGCCTTCCTTTGTGGTGTAATTTCCGACTCCCTTGGTACCCGCTGAAGCAGCAAGGGGTATGTGGGAAGCGACTAGAAGTGCGGAAGTCATGGCAAACCAAACACAGCCTTTTCGTGTTGTGGCGGTTGTGAGTCACAACTGACAATAAATTCCTCGAAACTGCCAACCTCCTGCCGCCTGCCTGTGCATCAACCCTTTGAACATGTTCATCACTGTTCATCCATTATTGTTTTGGCTATATCTACAATAGCCCACAATGTTTCGGAGTTTATCTTCTGAATTCAGCCTTCTGAACACACAGTTCAAAAACTCAACCGTGTTTTCAACAAGTAGGATGAGTTCTTCTGAGGACGCAGGCTACGTTTGGTTACCAGGAGGCAATGGAAGACCCTACAAATTCACTGGAGGGGCTAAATGCCCACTACTGCTGGCGTTTCCTTTGTCCCACACCTGCTTGCGGGGACCCCCAAGGCACCTGCGATGACTCGGGAGGTGATGCAGAGACTGATGAAATGCAAGAGCTATCAGCTGCAGGTGGGGACGTCGCTTTTCATCTTTGTGCTCGTGACCCAAGGGACCAGTGGGGCAGCTGCTGAGAAAGTGGTAGCCTGCTTAATCAAGTAAGGGCGACTATATAGTTAGCTTCTAGTAACTGGACGCAGGATAGCTCACGCTTCTTCAAGGAAGCTTCCCCCACTGCCCTAAAGGCGGCGGGGGAAGCTTCCTTGAAGAAGCGCTGGCACTATATATTAATTTGGTTCCTTTTTGAACATCGTGGAATCATCTCAATGGTCAGTATACATTCGGTGATGGGGCCGGTAACTTCAAGAAGACAATACCGGTTTCCTGGAACTGAACAAGTGCCCAGACCGATCACTGAAGACCTTGGGAAAAGGACAATGAATGGGGGTTGGGTTTTACGTTCCTCGGTGCTGGTTAACATAGCTCCATGTTGGTAAACCCTACACCTGGGACGCGAGATCAGATCCATGAGGGTGATGATCAGAGCTATACCATGCTTTACCATGCTTTACCCAGACCCGCATGGCGCACCTCACTGTCAGCTTCTGGACAACGCCAACTCCATGCTACCCTTCCAGTACATCCATTTGCTGAGCATCTGGACTGCACTGGGCAGGACGCAAAAGGCCGGACATTTCGGATTTACAACAGACTGTGGGAAGGAGCCTGGAGGACCCTCCGGTCGCGGCATGTTCTGTGCAGTACGTCAGTACGTGCGTCGCATCGAATGTTATGTCAATCAGAGTTGGAAATAACCCGTATTGCCAAGGCATGTTTTGATATTTTTTGTCAGGAATCCTACGTCACCATGGTGCAGTGAGGCCAGACAACCACCGGCGAATTAAAGGGTCCCACAAAGTTTCTTGTGTGTAACAGTCCACTTAATTGAGGAACCTCTCCACCAGGGCAACTCCACATGCACTGTTTAAGTGTCCGCATGGGAATTGCTTAAACTATGTTCTGGTGTTCACCGTCGATCTTCCAAGGTGTGTTGACGGTCTTCGTATCTTGCATCTTGGGGGTTTGCATGGGCATTTGCGATTCCTGGATGGCCGGTCGGCTCAGAGATCTCCAGCTAGCGTGCCACGTAGCTGTGGTTTTCGGCTGATGAACGAGTCGAATTGATGGGGAATTTGATACATGCGGCGGACCCTATGTTTGATCCAGTTACTTGACCCATGCAGACATGGGATTTGTAGTATTGAAAGCTTCAGGTTTGCTGGGTCCTTATCTTTTTTGGATTGCCGCAAGATTCCTTCAATATATTCAATGCATACAATAATCAAAAATTGTGTTGACATCCAAAGGTATCCCAACGATAATGGTGTAACAGATATTGTGTTCTTTGTCATTGTCGCATCATGTGGGCCCCATCAGCTACTCATGAGTTGCCTCCCAAAGGTCCAGCTTTATATTGTTTTAACTTTGGATCACGAGTTGAATCAAACAGATTGACGGTTTGACGACACCACCATTCCTTGTATTCCTTGGATCTTGGTTGGACCTTGCTCTACGGTCAGAAATTGATAAATATAATCTAGGCAAGCAGAGCACCCTCTATCCCTGATTGTGGCTGGTGCCAGCATTTTGCAGTACGTTGCATCTCTCTTTATACGTCTACTGTATATAGATGAATGCATAATGCGATCCATGCGTTGCTCATCACAATGTGTTGCTTTATGTTCTTCAATAGGCCTAGAAATCCTCTCATAAGTATAGAAGCCTCTGATACACATCAGTCAAGCCATCAGTCAAGCTCTCCCAAGGTGTTGGGGCTTACTGCTACCAAAAAACCTTAATACAAGACAACTGTGACTGCCAAGGCCCCGCCAGCCTATGCTGCCACATTGCTGTCCATTGGTGGCAAAGAGTGGGGAAACGATGCCAGCGCTTTGCAACTTCGGAATGAGGCCACGCTCAATTGTTTCTTTTCAGTTCCGCCGCGAGTAGCATTCATGTGCATGATCAGGTGGTGTGATGATCTGGGTCTGTGAAGAGTAGCACTCCTGATGGTTTCCGTAAAGCTATTGTCATCAGCAATCAAAAAGTGTTTGGGCACATTGACAAAGCAAAACAAAAGCGTTGGTTATCAGCAGGTGTCAGCAATCAAAAGTCCATGGCGTCATTTGGCAATGGGTCAATGGTCTTGGGGTCTTAGGTTTTGGATGGTTACATTGGCTAGCGGAGACCGGAGAGTGTTGATTCCAAGGATCATTTTGGGCCTTTTTGAGCTGCTCTCCAGCCTCAGCAATCCCTTCGACAGCAGCCTTGAGGTGTCGTTGCTCGGGATACGCAAGCTGTTTCTGAAAATACACCAGGGTGGGATGACCGAGAGCAATGCGAAATTGAATGAATGATATTGTACAAGGCCTGCCAAATATTTGGGGAAACGTGTTGGATCATGATCCGGATGTAACAACATGTGTAGAAGAGATGCACCAGACTGACCTTTTGTGTCAAAACAATATGTCTATGGCAGATAATAGTTTTGCTTGCTTGAAAGGTGTGATGCCCATGCCGCCTATTATGGCTTAATCAAGCGTGTCCCCGTCGTGCAGTCCAATACTTAAGGGTTACAGTTACCGGCAAACCATGGCAAACCCTCAGTGAGTGTACTATAAACAAATGTGCAAAGAAGGTGCAACAATGGCGCATGATTTCGGTTTGCAGTGTTACAGGTCTCGATGTGGTTTCCATATTGGATTATGATGCATTGTTTCAAAAAGAAAAGCTACTAGGGGCTCCTGGCCGTACTACTAGCAGCAAGGACGCTACTAGGGGCTCCTGGCATCGCTACTAGGAACAAGAAGCTACTAG